TGGATACCAGAGAGCGACAGGCTCCGTGGGACAGGGGCAGATGTTGACGTGGCGGTGGCATAGCCTCCACCTGAAGGGGACAGGTCCAGGGACACCGCCTCCTTCCGAGTTTACAGGCAGCCCAGCTGCGTTCTTTGTGACCCAGTCGGACACCTCTCACTTCCTCTGTGAACGGAACTTGGTGTCTGGATGACGTGCAAGGCAAGTTGGTTGAGCAAAACAGCACAGCGGCCCCTTTGGCCTCCCACCCCAACCCCCAGGGCCTAAATAAAGAATCGAAACAGAAAACAGCGACACCTGGAAGGAACTGGGCTTCCCACAGAGACTTAGAGGAGCCACAAGGGCCACCCTGGGGACCGAGGGAGCCCGTTGGGACCTCAGATCAGGACTGCCTGGCTGTGTGACCCAGTCCAGTTTACTTAACATCTCTGAGTCCAGGTTCTCCATCCTGGTTCACCTTTCCGTGCTGGCAATGCTTCCTGCCAGCACCTTCTTCCAGCACTCGTGACAGACTGGAGTCCATGCTGTCAGCTGCAGCCCATTCCCCAAGGGCCCAACCCCTCCGAGCCAGAGGTGAGTGCGAGGCCCCGGCTTCCCCACTTGACAGCACGCACAGGAAACAGATGTTCCGGGCTCTGAGTCGGCCGGCCGTTTCCTCCCTGCTCGAAGGCTCCGTAGCCAGACCATGACAGGTGGATGAGCAAATCCTCCAGGAATGGTGCTCCTTTGAAGTTCTTGGCTGAGTTAAAATAAGCAAAAAGGGAACGATCTCGAAGTCACGTGAGGCGACGGCGGCTGGTGGCATCTGATGTACCCGCAGGTTTCTTGTCCCTGGCCAAGGCTCAGCGCTGCCCTCCCCGTCTGTGGTCTGAAGCCAGCGGAGGATAAACAGGCAGCGTGGTGAAGAATCAGTGCCAGGGATCCAGAGCCTGCACTCCGGGGCTGTGCGACCTTGGACGAGCTGCTGGGGCTCTCTGGACCTCAGCTTGCTGTTTGGTCGCTGGTGGCAGTGGTGGGGCTTTATTATGCACTCCAGAGATATGCCTTCGGAGTTAAGTGAACGCTGCCTGGCATAGTGCCCGCCGCACAGTAGGGGCTCAACACGCACGCGTTGTTTTCCACTCACCATCTCTCTAAGCCCCTTCGGCTGCCCCTGGCATTGCTGTCTCTGACAGTGAGGGTGCTCAGCTCTGGGCCCTGCCAGCCAGAGCTGGGCACCGTCTGAGGCCTCCCTGGCAGCCCCAGCACAGTGCAGCCACGGCGACCTGCAGGCTCCGCACCTGTGCCCCGCCCTCCCTGTTCCTGCTGCCCAGGGGCTCCTTCATCACTCTGCACTCCGGCACCCTCCTCAGTCCAGACTGGAGCTCTCGTGTCCGGCCTGCCCACTCCCATCCCCTCCCTGTACTCCTCCTGGCCTTGAGGGCCCTGGGATTGAGTCCCTGGACCCCACTCCAGCCTCCCCTCTCCTGATCTCATCCTGGATCTGGTGAATGCAAATGGTTCCCTTTGGTCCTCCAGCCTCTGCCCCACCTCCTAGCCTTTGTCCATCTCCTCCTTGCCCCCCACCAACAATTCAGATTTTTTTTTAAGATCTATTTTATTTACTTGAAAGGCAGAGTAACAGAGAGACAGAGATCCTCCATCTGCTGGTTCACTCCCCAAATGGCCACAACGACCAGGGCTGAGTCAGGCCAGAGCCAGGAGCCAAGAATTCTATCTGGGTCTCCCACATGGGTGCCGGGGCCCAAACACTTGGGCCATCTTCTCCTGCTTTTCTTGCATTGGAATCCCAACAGCCAGGGCTCAAACCAGCACTCATATGGGATACTGGTGTTGTAGGCTGTGGCTTAACCAATACTACGCCACAACGCAGGCCCCAGCAACTCAACTTCAAGGCTTGGTTTGGAGCCTTTACTGAGCACCACACATCCCCTTCCACATCGACCACTCCTCTTTTGTTCCCTCCTGGTCACCTGACTCCATCTTGGTGGCACCTGGGGGAGCTTTACACTGAGCCAACACTAAGACTGCTCCAAGGCCACCCTGTTCTAAATGCCCCCCACACGCACACACACTTGACTCATTTAATCCTCACAAAAATCAGCCTCTGAGGCAGGTGCAGTTGTCCCTCACCCTCCATGGATGCCTGAAACCAGAGAACCCCAAAGCCTGTACATACGCTGTTGTTTCTTTTTTCCTTTTTCCTTTTCTGTTTTTGTGAAGCACCTCTGCTTTCACCTCCAGCTCCCAGGACTTGGTTCTTGTTGCAGAGTTGGGTTTTTCCGTTATGGAGTGGAGTGTTCATGCTTATTTTTTTTAGATGCATTTATTTATTTGAAAGGCAGAGTTACAGAGAGGGAAAGAGAGAGAGGGAAAGAGAGCATCCATCCACTGGTTTACTCCCCAAATGGCCACAACAGCTGGAGCGAGGCTGATCTGAAGTCAGGGGCCAGGAGTGTCCTCCAAGTCTTCCACATGGATTCAGGGGCCCAAGCACTTGAGCCATCATCCACTGCTTTCCCAGGTGAACTAGCAGGAGCTGGATCAGAAGTGGAGCAGCTGGGACTTGAACTGGCACCCATATGAGATGACGGCCTTGTAGGCAGCGGCTTAACCCACTACACCACAACACAAAACCCTGATATATTTTTAAACATATGTGTCTATGGTAAGATTTAATTCATGAATAAGGCACAGTAAGAGCTTAACAACAAAAACGAATAATGAAATTGGGTAATTGTAGCAATTCTTTATAATAAGAATTATTTAAAATATATGAACAGTTTATTTTTAGAATTTTCCAATTAATATTTTTGGAACATGGTTGGCTGTAGGTAATGAAGTGTGTGGACATGGAAGCTGAAGATAAGAGGGAGTCTGTTGTATGATTCTCCACATTTTAGCAGGTGAGGGTGCTCAGGGAAGAGAGGGTAGGTGACTCGTCCACGGTCGCACAGCTACCAGGGGGCGGGACTCAGGCACGGTGGTTCCGAGCTCTGAGCTGCGATGCTATTCGGTCAGCTTGAGGGCTTCGTCTGCTTGTGCACACGCGAGAGCTCCGCAGCATCCTTCCAGCTCAGAACCTGCAGGCCCAGCAGGTGCCACTGAAAATTCCCAAGCTGAAGGCTCCATCCTCTGTCCACCTGCCCATCAGGACCGGGATGCTCCAGGAGTCCTCAGTTAAATCCTAGGTGAATGCGGTTTTATGTTTTTTTTTTTAATACCAAATTACCTGGGGCTGGCGCTGTGGTATAGCGGGTAAAGCTGCCGCCTGCAGCGCTGGCATCCCATGTGAGTGCTGGTTCAGGTCCCAGCTGCTCCACTTCCAATCCAGCCTCCTGCTAATGCACCTGGGAAAGCAGCAGAAGATGGGCCAAGTGCTTGAGCCCCTGCACCCATGTGGGAGACCCTGAAGAAGCTCCTAGCTGCTGGCTTCAGATTGTCCCAGGTAAAACCATTATGTCCATTTGGTGCAACAGATGGAAGATCTCTCTCTCTCTCTGCCTCTGCCTCTTGGTAACTCTGCCTTTCAAATAAACAAATGAGTCCTTTAAAAAAAAAGATCAGCTGACTCCTTATCCCCAACTCATAAGAAGGAGGAAGGGAGGAGGAGAAGGAGGAGGGTCACAGTTTTTGGAAGTCCGCTCCTGGGGTGTTCTGCTGGAAGGAGCAAGTTCTGTCTTTGGGGATTTCGTGTACAAGACCTGGGGTGGAGTGGGCTCTCCCAGCAGCCTCCATCCTCAGCCCACCCCCTCCCCAATGCTCCCTCTGCCTGGAGATGGTCAGGAGCCCAGGGATACTTCTCCTTGCACCCTGCAGTGCTGTCAGCCGGAGTGTGCATCCCATAATGCTCTCCCAGCCTGCCTGAGCTCTGTCTCCCACTGACACGGAGGAATGTCGCTGGAACGCAGCCTCCAGGACACCGGGGCTGCTGTCTCCCTCCCAGCTGCCAGGCTGGCCTAGTTAGCTCACCTGGCGGATGACGCAATTTGCCAGGTATGGCGCCAAGGCCCCTGGTGAGTCAGCCACACTCTCCCAGTGGGCATGTCTCCAAAGGCAGCCCAGGTTAAGAACATAAGCTGTGGCTCAGAAGGATATAACGATGACAGCAACAGCGAGCAGCAGCTAGTCTTGACAGTGCCGTGTCCTATCTGCCGTCTCAGAGCCAGGCACAGCCCGTGCTGGGGCCAGGAAGATGGGAAACTTCTTTGCAGATGAGAAAGCCCAGGCTCCGTGATAGAGAGACCTGCCCAGCGCCACACAGTGGTGGGAGTCTGCGAGTCGCCTGGCGCGTGTTCTTCCAACCCCTGAGCTCTGCTGCCTCTGGGAAACGCCGTGGAGCCATTCAGAGCCCACACGGTGGTTTGGGACAGCAGGTTGAAGGCACCGCGCGACAGTGCATTGAGCAAGGCAGCTGGCAATCCTCGGAGGGATTCCCCTCCACCAGGACTGCAGGCGGAAAAACAAACGGTAGGGACCACAGCACTCGGGGCCTGCTCCTCCCAGCTCTTTCCCCTCCCACATGTTTTCCACCCTCCCACCAGCTTCCCATGTCTGCCAAAGGGAGGAGAGAAACTTGGGGTACCTACTCTGTCGGTTCTCTCCATCATTCATTTAATCCTGGACCTGGCCCTTTGAAGTCAATGGTGTTCTTCCCATTTTATAGGTAGAAAAGCTGAGGCTCCAAGAAGGAGAGAAACTTACTATCAACTCCTTGGCTGAACTAGGATTGGGACAAAGCTAAATCTGAACTGGAGTCTGTACTTGGTGTGCCAGGCCACAGAAGATGGGACAGCACATCAGAAATACCGGAAAGGACTTCAGAACCTTGGATAGAAGGGCGGAGCCTAGCTGAGAAGCGGTGTTCTGGAGAGGAGAGGTGTGGCCTCCTCCGGCAGTGCCCTGCCCGCACCTATCCTGCACCAGCCAGCTAGTGGTCAGCCCCCTGCCAGTGAGAAGGAGGATCTGGGCCTCTAGCCGATGGGTGTCTGCAGGTCGGGCCACCCATCTCCCACCTCCTCTGTGATACACAGGACAAGGCATCTGGACGCACCGGACCAAGAGGACAGGTTTCTAGATGCCGCCACCCCACGGGAAAGCCCAGCAACGAGGTTGCACACTCTGTGCATCAGGCTCCCTACAGCTCAGCCGGCCCAGCAGAGGTTCCCACAGTCGGGAGCCAGGCTGGCCTCTCTGACCTCTCCTTGCCTTGCCTAGAGTCACACTGACCACAGGTGCACACGCCCACTGCCTCTTGCTGTGGCGCAGAGGTGGGCAGGGGCAGGTAGAGTGTGCTAGGCTTGAGAAACTTCACGGCCATGGAGCCAGCCAGCCCTGGGTTAAATCCCAGTGCCTCATCTCATTAGTCGGATGACTTTAGGCAAGCTGCCTCACCTTTCTAAGCCTCAGTGTTCACATCCGTAAAGAGATTATCAATCATACCCCTTCCGTAGTATCGATCAGAGAATTTGTGTAGGTGTTCCAGTGCCGCATGCACATTAGGGTCTCTTGAAGTTGAAGTTTCCCATCTCTATGGTACTATTGAATGTCTCCAAAGTCACACACTTGGGAAGCTCTCCGGAGTCATCCCAAGTAATGGAGCAACAAAGCCACTGCTGACTGAGAGGTTCTCTGCCGCAGACAGACCTGAAGGGCGGTTGTCTGGTCTGGAAGGAAGAGGTGATGGTGCGGGAGGGGGAAAGGCCAGAGTATCCATCAACAGCTGTGTTTGCACCCTAGTGAGAGAGTGTGTGTGCACACCTGTGCGTGTGTGTGTGTAAGAGACGGGACACACATGCAATAGACCAAAATCAAGTCCCCACCCTCAAGGGATTTACATAGAACCATAAAAAAAAAAAAAAAAAGATGACAAAGTCAGGGCCGGCATTGTGGCACCGTGGGCTGAGCTGCTGCATATGACACCAGCATCCTGTATGAGCCCCGGTTTGAGTCCCGGCTGCCCTGCGTCCAGCGCAGCTCCCTGCTAATTCAGCTGGGAAGATGGCTCAGGTGCTTGGGTCCCTGCCGCCCGCAGTGGGAGAACCAGATGGAGTTCCCGATTCCTGGCTTTGGCCTGGCCAGACCCAGCCATGGTGGCCATTTGGGGAGTGAACCAGTAGGTGGAAGATAAGTCTGTCTCTTTCTCTCTATAACTCTGCCTTTCAAGTAAATAAATATCCTTTTTAAAGTTTCAAAGTCAATATGTGGGAGACATAAAGCCCTATTGGAGCACCGTAGAGACAAGAGAATTTGCTTCCAGCTCACCTGTTGTCTTGAGAGACCTGCAATGCTTCCTGGAGCAGGTGCTCTTGGAGGTAACCGAAGGGCGGGTGAGCTTTTGACAGGTTGTAGTGGAGCGAGGTGCAGAGAGAGCTGTTGAGAAAAGCCAGGAAACAGAGAAAGCACAATGTGCTCAGTGAATCATAGGTAAAATGGAAAAAGAATCCAAATACGAAAATATTCTTACCTCCATGTGGTAGGATTATGGTTGATTGATATTCCCTAAATTCTTTAAACTGAGCATGGATGATTTTTATATACAAGAAAAAAATTATATTTTAAAAGTCAGCATCAATAGCAAAATCAGCAAAAAGAGCCCTTTTGAGGCTGGAGGAAGGAGGGAAGGATGTTTGAAATTCCAGGTTAGAGTGCAGCAGAGAAGGGGGGGTCTCACCTCAGCCCTACTAGATTTTGGACTGGCTCTGTGGAGGGGCTGCCTGTGCCTGCAGCCTGCAGCCTGCACAGGAGAGACACAGCAGAATCCCCATCCCCACCCCTGCCTGTGGGGACAACCAAAACTGTCCCCCCCAAGGGGCCAGATTGCCCCTGGGTGAGAGCTTCCACTCTGAGGCTGGGGCTGGCGACCTTGACATGAAGGAAAGGTGCCCCCATGCGGTTCCCTGCATGCAGAGGATGGAATCCCTTCACCACGGCTGTGCCCTCCCAAGATGTCTCCCTCTTTCACCCGTTTGCACCCAAATCCAGGAGGCAGCAAGCCTGAAACAAGGTCCCGAGTCTTTTTTGAAAAAGACATGTATTGGCCAGCGCTGCAGCTCACTAGGCTAATCCTCCGCCTTGCGGCGCCAGAACACCGGGTTCTAGTCCCGGTCGGGGGGCCGGATTCTGTCCTGGTTGCCCCTCTTCCAGGCCAGCTCTCTGCTGTGGCCCGGGAGTGCAGTGGAGGATGGTCCAAGTGCTTGGGCCCTGCACCCCATGGGAGACCAGGAGAAGTACCTGGCTCCTGCCATCGGATCAGCGCGGTGTGCCACTGCAGCCATTGGAGGGTGAACCAACGGCAAAGGAAGACCTTTCTCTCTGTCTCTCTCTCTCACTGTCCACTCTGCCTGTCAAAAAATAAAATAAAATAAAATAAAATAAAGAAAAGAAAAAGACATGTATTTATTTGAAAGCCAGAGTGGCAGAGAGAGACCTTTTGTCCTTTGGTTCACTCCCCAAATGGCTGCAGTGGCTGCCTGGGCCTCCCACTTTGGTGACAGGAACCCAGGTACCTGGGCCATCTTCCCCTGCTTTCCCAGGTACATTAACAGGGAGGTGGATCAGAGCAGAGCTGCTGGGACTTGAACTGGTGCCCCCATATGGGATGCTGGTATCACAAATGGTAGATTAACCCACTCTTCTACAATGCTGGCCCCAAGGTCCCACAAGGTCCCAAGTCCCCCCCCCCTTTTTTTTTCTTAAGATTTATTTTTTCACTTGAGAGGCCAGACAGAAAGAGGGAGAGATGGAGAGAGAGGTATTCCATCTGCTGGTTCACTCCTCATATGGCTGCCAAAGCCGATCCAAAGCCAGGAGCCAAGAGCCTCCTCCTGGTCCTCCGCTTGGGTGCAGGGACCCAAGCCCTTGGGCCAGCCATCTTCCACTGCTTTCCCAGGCCATCAGCAGGGAGCTGGATCAAACGTGGAGCAGCCAGAGCTCAAACTAGCGTCCAGATGGGATTCCAGCACCCCAGACAGATGCTGATCCCACTACCCCACAGTGCCTGCCTCCTGCTCCCAAGTCTTAACACCACTTAGCTACATTACCTTCATGAAGCTGTGGCCACCCCGGGCCTAATTTTACTTCTCGGTGACAGGATAGGTAGACCAGATGAGCTCAAAGATGCTATGAGCCTTTATCTCAAAGCCAAGTCCCTTATTTTGTATCCCAGGACACTTTCTGTTGCTATGACAAAATATCTGAGGCTGGGTAATTTATAAAGCAAAGACGCTTACATGGCCCGTGAATCTGGCGGCTGAAGCTCCAAACAGCATGGCACTGGTGTCCTGATGAGGACCCCTTGCCTACTTTACCCTGTGGCCAAGAAATGGAGCGGGAATGGGATGTATACAGAAGGCACCAGCTCGTGGGGTGGCCTCACTGGATAAGAATCCTCTCTCTGGAGCACTCACTCTAGGGTGGGAGTGGGGGTGTCCCATTAATCCTTTCCTGGAGCAGGGCCCCCTATGTCTTTACCACCTGCTGCCAGTCCTCACATCTTAAAGGTTCCACCCCCCAGCACTGCTACGCTGGGACCAATCTCCAGAACATGTACCTTTGGGAGACATGCTTAAGCCATAGCAAAACTACAGCATTAAGTGAAGACAGGGCTTTTGGAAATGTATGGTTTTGCCCAAGGTCACAAGCCTGACCATCAGCAGAGCCACACTGAAACCCAGGTCTCCTAATGCCTGTGTACAACCCCCTCCCACCCTGTATTCTTCCTCCTGTGGTCTCCTTGGATTAGAAGCCGTGTTTCTAGGGGGCCAGCATTGTGGTGCAGCAGGTTAAGCTGCCTCCTGCAGTGCCAGCATCCCAGGTCTCAGCGGCTCCACTTCCAATCGGCTCCAGGCTAATGGCCTGGGAAAGCAGCCAAAGATGGCCCAAGTGCTTGGGCCCCTGCTAATGATGGGGGAGACTTGGATGGAGCTCCAGGCTCCTGGCTTGAGCTGGACCCAGCCTTTGACTGTTAACAGCCATTTGGGGAGTGAATCAGCAGATGGAAGATTGTCTCTCCCTCTCTATGCCTTTCAAATAAATAAACAAACCTCAAAAAAAAAAATTTAGTCTTTATACGTGCAGCTGAGAGAGCACAGCCACACAAAAACCTCCTATCCACCAACGGCGTGTCTTCCCAAGGAAGCCTCAGCCACTCTGACACAGGCTCTCGGGCTTTGAGACAAGAGAGGACCAGAGGGTGATGAAGTGCCGGCTCTTCAGGGGCTGGCTGCCGAGACACAGGCTGCAAATGCCACTCCAGGGATGCATCACTGAAGGCTGCGCGTGCAGAACACAGGAGGCGATTATTCTGGTCTGCCTGGCACCGGGTCCTCCCGGCAGGAGAGCTGCCCGCAGGCTTGGAAGGAGTTCAGCGGAAAGTTCACCGAGAAAGCCAGATGGAGAAGGAACAGGACTGGCAGTGTGGCTCAGCTGTCGTCCAACAGACCGAGGCTCGTCTCTGCGTCTTCCTTATCCCGGAGGACGTGAGGAGGTGGTGTTGCAGTGGGCGGAAGAGGAAGAGACTTCAGATGGCAGTGTAAAGCAATCTGGGCAGCTTCCTGCTTGCATGAAAGCCGCTCTCTGCTAACTCTGCAAGCTCCGAAGCTGCCTTCCCCGCGGGGCCTGGAGAGGCTATGAAGCCCCGGTAACCGGACTCTTGCTGAGACAAAACAGGGCCAGGGCACGAAGGCAGATCCGTGCGCCCCACTTCAGGGGCAGGCCTGGCCTCTGTCTCCCAGGTTCGCCCGGTGGGAAACGCTCTTAGGGGAGAACCTGAAGGGTCTCCCCTCTCCTGTGCGGGGCTGGCTCTCTTAGTGGAACTGTCCAGGCAAATCTGCTCCCAGACGCTCCTAGATCAGGTGACGTCAGGTTACAAATAATATCAAGGGCAGTTGTGCTGGATGGCTGAGTCACCAGGACTGAAGGTGCGTAGGTGGCCACGAAGTGGGTCCCACACATTTCCCAGGGCGCTGCAGGGGGCGGGAGCAGGCTGGGGAGCCTGTGGAGGGCCGTGTGAACCCCTGGGCCCTAGCCCGCCTCCACCTGCTGGCGGTTCCAGGCCGGGGGTGGGGGGGCCCTTCTGCCTCCCTGCGTCTTGCTGGCTGCCTCGGTGAGTCACGAAGGCCCGCGGGGCTCTGCGTGGGCCCCTGGCACCCGGCTGCACGCCTCCCTCCTCTGGTCCCGCCCAGGAGCTCGTGTCCTGGGCTCAGTGACGCCTCATCTCAGGCCTGGTTACCTGGTGAGCAGAGCCGTGCAGGATCCGCGCCAGGTGGAAGTGCAGTGTGCAGCAGGGGGAGAGAAAGGAGTCTTCCAGGGCCCTTATCGGTGACGGAGGCACCGTGGCGGGCTGGAAGCCGAGTCGCCCAGGACCACTGGCCACAGAAACCCTGCCCCGGCCACCTGTGCACGCAGACAGCTAGAGCCCCAGGGATTTCAGAGCAGCTGTCAGAGGTCGGGGGACACTCCCACATTGAAGTCACGCCAGACCCTTGGCGGTTCACAGACCCTTCTGCTGTGTGGGTCGCCTTCTTCTACTTTTTTAATGGATTTTTTTTGTACTACAGAACCTTTTTTTTTTTTTTTTTTTGACAGTCAGAGTTAGTGAGAGAGAGAGAGAGAGAGAGACAAAAAGGTCTTCCTTCCATTGGTTCACCCCCAAATGGCCGCTACGTCCAGCGCACTGCGCCAATCCGAAGCCAGGAGCCAGGTGCTTCCTCCTGGTCTCCCGTGCAGGTGCAGGGCCCAAGGTCCTGGGCCATCCTCCACTGCCTTCCCGGGCCACAGCAGAGAGCTGGACTGGAAGAAGAGCAACCAGGACAGAACCGGTGCCCCAACCAGGACCAGAACCCGGAGTACACCCTCGGGCCGCTCTCCCGCGGTTGTGATTCAGGAAGGCAGGCAGGACCTAGGACTGCATCTGGGTCAAACATCCCGGGGAATTCGCAGACAGGCGCTTCCTGGACTCCACTGTGAGAGCCCTGGTGTTGCGGCTGAGAGCGCAGCCTCCAAAGGTAAACCCGAATTCCAATTGGTGCTGCCATTTAGTGGCCGACGGAGCTCCCGGCCTCACTAGCCTTAGCTGCAGAGTGGGAATGCTGACGTTGCTGTACTGATTTACACGTGGGCCCCGCAGACTGCCCAGGAGTGCGAGCACTGCCCACATGTGAGTTATTACTCCGGCCCACGAGACTGTGGCTGACTCAGAGCACTCCCGTTCTTCAGGGGAGAGGATGCGGGGGCTTTGGGGATGATCTCCTCATTCTTCTGCCTCCCCCAGGGCATGACCCTGTCTGCCCACCCCAAAAATGGATGAAGATCCTCTGTCTGGCCATTTTCTCACGGAGCAAAGAAATGCAGGCCTCTCCCCTTAGCACCTTCTGCCCCGCCAGCCTGAGTGTTGGAAGCGCCTGCAACAGCTTGGTGTCTTCCGCGGGCTCTGAAAAGGAAACCGAAGGCTGCCTGTGAACAGGACTCACGGGGCTGGGCCCCTGCTGGGAACCTGGTAAGGAAGACAAGGTTGTCCACACGGGGCTGTCCGCAGCCGGGCCCCACCCGAGTGCTGGCTGCTCGGGCCCAGGCTGCCCTGGCTTACACAGAGGGAGCTAGCGTGGCCTGGCCTGGCCTGGTCAGACCAGTGTTTGCCTCCTGCAGGAGACTTAAAGACCCAGAATATAGATTATGTCCAGAAAAGAGCTCACAGACTGAGCAGAGTGAGGGCCAGGGGAGACGGGGTCACAAGGGCTGGCGACTGCGTCTGTGAGGGGCTCGTGATTCTCGGTGGAGGCGGGATCCCTCTGGGCTGCAGCCAGTTCCCTTCTGCACAGCTGGCGTCCTGTGGTCTCGAGAGCACCTTCTATCTGAGGGCACCTGCAGGTTGTCAGAGTCCCATGGGACACGTGATTCTGTGGGGACCACCCCACTCGGCGTGGAGAGGTTGGCTGTCATTCGCACTGTCACACGCACACAGGGATGTCGGTGGTGGTCAGGCCGTCTTCAGCCACCAGCACTTCTGCTAAGAGCGCCCCCACTTTGCTTTGGGGAACCCCCTCCCCCTCTGGGTTGTCCTGTGGGACTTCCCTCCAGTGTCCTCCACCCTCTCTTAGTCTAAGGCTGATCGTGTGACCTGGGTAAGGCCAAGCAGACTCTCTTCCTAGGATCTCAGTCTTGCCAGGGGTGACAGTAATCTAAAGGAGTCGGGGCTTCCCATGTGACTCAGCAACTCCACTTCTAGGTATGTACACGGAAGAGTTGAAAGCATGGGTTTGTCCAGAGGTTTGCACACCCACATTCAGAGCAGCCAAATTCACAACAGTCGAAAAGCAGAAGCAACTCAAATGTCCATTAACAGATGAAGGGATAAAGGATGATCAGTATGCACAGGGGAATCTTGTGATGAACCTTGAAGCCATGCTAAGTGAAATAAGCCAGCCATAAAAGGACGAATATTATGGTTCCACTTACACGAGACATCTAGACTAGTGAGATTCCTGGAGACAGAAAGCAGAATAGAGGCTTAGAAGAGGAGGAAACAGAGTTGTTGGTTAATAGGCATGGTGTTTGCATTTGGGATAATTAAAAGGTTCTGGAAATGGATAGTAGTGACATTGATACAACTTTGGAAATGCAATTAATGCCACTGAGTTGCACACTTAGAAAAGGATAAACTGGCACACTTGATGTTATGTATATTTTACAATTTCAAAAATACAAAGATGGTGGACAGTAAGAGAAAACAACAACAACAACAACAAAACAAACAAACAAACAAACAAAACAACTGGTTGGGGCTGATTGGCCCCCGAAGAGACTGTCCGTCAGTTTCTGCAACCTGGACACTCAGGTTTCCCTTATTCCTGCTCTAGGTTGGAATCTTGGCTTCACCACACGTGACCCTGAGCAAGTTGCTTCGCGTCTTTGCGCCTCTGCTTTCTTATCTGTGAGTAAGGATGATGATAGCCACCAGTGCACGGAGTGCCTGGGTTCCAGGGAAGATGCACGTTGTGTGCTTGGCACAGACACGTGCACAGGACGCGTGGATAGGTGGGAGGCACGTTGTCTTTCCACAAGCACGGCTTCTGTGTGTTCCGAGGCTCAGAGAGGAGTCTGGGGGTTAAACCCACATTCATGCCATGGTCAGCCACAGGACTCCTCGGCTGCCCAGCTTGAGGGCAGCGGAAGTGAGTGAGGAGGTCCTGGCTCCCAGGGGACCAGAGAGTTCCTCTATCAGCTCTTTTGACATCCTGTCTCTGAGGCTTTCTCAGTTGAGAAAGCTCTTTGCTCCCAACCATTCTTGTTCAGCCATGAAGATACTTTTGCGGGGGAGAGTTTGTTTCAACAGGAAATGGTAGAGGGGAGTCAGGGAAACCCTACACCCAAAGGCACCCTTGAATCAACTTTCTTGGAGCTTTTCTTGAGCTACGGCTTCCCACAGTAATGGATTTTTATGACCCCTGACTTGGTCCCTGGCACATAGTAAGGACTCCAGAAGTCTAGTTGTCATCATTGTGGTGACTGATGGCCCAGTGATGTGACTACAAGGCTCGGTGAATGGCCATCAACCCCTATCCACTCCAAATGCTACCCCTGCCAGCTCCTGGGGTCTGAAATTCCTCTAAGACGACACAAATCCCTGTCTTTCCTAGTTAGAGACATGGCTGATGGTGCCAAGCAAAGGAGGAAGGGAGGGAGGTGGGAAAAGCATTGCCTTGGAGCTGGAGCAGAGTTGGCTGGGGACCCTGGGGGCTGCCCTCCAGTTTCTGAGCTATGTACCCTCTTCCTAAAACCCCATGCATGTTCCCAGCATCCCTAGTTTCTGAAGATGGTTTAAGCTGAGAAGTAGCCAGGGCATTGGGTAACAGAGAGGAGAGTCCTCAGCCCCCTTGCGGGGAAAGGCTGGAGACTGGGGAGGAGTCTGTTAGCTGGAGGCCCCAGCATCACTTAGGTTCTGGGTCCCCTGGTGTCCTGATCAGTGGACATTCAAGCACTTGCCAGAAAGACAAAGACAGGTAGAGCAGAGTTCCTGCTGTGCAGGGTTCCAGAGAGTTCACTGTGCCTGCACCATACCCAGAGCCCTTCGTGCTCTCAGCCATGGCGCGCGGACAGTGCCCAGCAGGCCTGCCCAGTTCATGCCCCCTGGTAGCTCACCACCTGTGGGCCCAGAGCCAGCAAGTGCCTGCAGCAGCCTGCTCCCTCCAGTGCTGCCCGGAGAGCTGAGCCCCGTTTCCCTCAGGGCCATCTTGGTTACACCACCTTCTGTGGGCCTTTCCTCCTTTCTTGACTCACTTCCCACCTGTGACTCCCAGGACCACCTTCCACATGAAGGCCCGTGTCCACGTCCTCGCTTAAGCTGTGTCTGCAGGAATCTGATCTAAGGTAGACTCCTCGTCTACGTTCAGGGTGATGCATTCGAAATCAAGACAGGAACAGGAGGAGGCACATACACACACACACACACACACACACACACACACCCTGGGTGGTGACTTTTGACCTGAGTCTAAAGGCTGAGAAGTTTGGCTAAAGGTCTCCTCCTCCCTCCGTTGCCAACCCAGCAGCCTCCAAGATCCCTGAGAGCTGGCATGACTTCCGTCCACAGCCCACAGGGGAAAGCAGGCCCTAACGGATCCGGACAGAGGGCAGGCCCACCACTCACCCCCACGCACCCCACAATAGTAGCCTTCATTCAGCGTTTCCTCTGGGCTAAAGTACTTTACATGTGTTAAGTCCTTTCTTCCTCCCAGTACCACAATAGCATTATTATCTTCATTGAGCAGATGAGGGCACTGAGGCAGAGAGAGGCGGAGGGGGCAGCCCAAGATGACCACACGCTGCAGAGTGGTGGAAGGGGGCCCTTAGGCCTCCTGAGCCCAGGGCAGCAAGCTGCCTGTTCCCACAGTTGGGGTTCTCTGGGCCTGTGTGGAGGGAGAAGCAAGGGAAGAGGCCCTTGTGGGAGTGCAGCTTGAGGGAAGGCAAAAGCCTGGGTGGTACAGTGTGCGTAACAGCGGCCGCTATGCGCCCCTCCTGTGGCCAGGGCCTGGGGCTCCACCTGTGGCTTCGCTCTCACCCGCTCCAGGAAGAGGCAGGCGCCACTGACGCCGACCCTGAGAGAAGGAGTTCATTCATGTCTCTATCCGTCTGTTCCCTCCCCCATTCCCAGAGCAGACACGGAGCCCTTGTCCCTGATGCCCC